TTCTTTTACCATATTATCATAACAAAACTGTCATTAGTATGGCTTGAATGGACACAAAAACAGTTGCTAATGCGGTGCGCTGGAATAACATTAAGAATACTCTCGGTTATTTTTTCTCTCGATATACCATTTGATTCAAATGAATTTACTTGATACTTTTCTGAAAATATGAGTTGAATGTTAAATCATGCTCTTAAAACAAGGATGTGGGTGTGAGTGTGGGTGTGACTGTGGGTGTGGACTGTGAGTGTGGAATGTACGTGTGGGTGTGGAGTGTACGTGTGGGTCTGGAATGTACGTGTGGGTGTGGAGTGTACGTGTGGGTCTGGAATGTACGTGTGGGTGTGGAGTGTACGTGTGGGTGTGGGTGTGACAACCGAGACACTCAGCACACTCAACACACTCACACCCAACCCACACTCACACACCTAGGGCTGCACCGAGCCTGAACTGCTCGAGTTCTGTCATTCCCGGTACTGGGATTCCGGATTTAGTCATTCACATTATTGTTATAACAATCTCCTATTATATGAGGGTACTCTTAGCTCGTCATGTCCTATTACATACAGGTACCCTCAGGCCCTCATGTCCTATTATTAGGTTCTCAACAAAGTTCTTGCGTTTTTTTTAATCCCCTAAAATATTCGGAAAGCTTCCAAAAGTCGCCATACCTGGGATACCTGTACGGGGCACGAATATCTCGCGAACAACAACAAAACTACCACTAAAGAAGCTAGTTTCGAATTAGAACTGGAGATTACTCGTGCAGAGCTCGGAGTGCTTTTACTTCATAAATTCCATTTTAAGACCTACAGCAACAGAAGTAGCAAGTAGCATACGCAGCACGATGGGTCACGATGCACTCTCCATTTTCACAGCGCAACATTGGCTCAATCGATTTAGGAAAGAGAACTTCGAACTTGACAATTTCCCTCGTCTTGACGAGAAAAGGCAAAGGATGTCGATGTGGCTGTGAGTGGGTGTCGGAGTGCGTGTGCGTGTCGGTGTAACTGTCGGGTGTGGGTGTGTGAGTGTCGGTGTCGGTGTGTGGCGGGAGGTGTTTGTTTGGATGTAGGTGTGGGTGTGGCTGTGGCTGTGGCTGTGGTTGGCTGTGGGTGTGGGTGGGTGTGGGTGGATGTGGGTGAGGATGTGTAAATATCGGTGTCGGTGTGGCTGAGCGGGGTGTGGGTGTGGGTGTGCGTGGCGGGTGTGAGTGTGGGTGTATGTCGATGAGTGTGGGTATGTGAATGTGGGTCTAGGAGTGGCTGTGCGGGTTGTGGGTGTGGGTGTGGGTGGTGGGTGTAAGTGTGAGTCTATGTCGATGGGTGTGGCTGTGGGTGGGTGTGGGCGGAGGTGTGGCAGTGGGTGATGGGACTGAGTGTGAGTGTATGTCAGTGGGTGTGAGTGAGGGCGTCGATGTGGGTGAAGGTGGTGGGTGTGAGTGTGGGTGTGGGTTTGGGTCTGGGTGTGGGATGCACGTGCGATGTGGCTGTGGGCGTGGCTGTGAGTGTCGCTCTCGGTGGGTGAGGGTGTCGCTGTGGGTGAGGGTGTGGGCGAGGGTGGGGTGTGGTGTGGGTGGGTCTGGGCGAGGGCGTGGGTTTGTGTGTGGGTGTGCGTGGTGAGTGTGAGTTTGGATGTATATCAGTGGGTGTGGCTGTGGGTGTGGGTGGGTGTGGATGTGAGTGGGGTCTGGGTGGGTGTGGGTGTCCTTCTCGGTGTGGGTGTGGGTGTCCTTCTCGGTGTGGGTGTGTGTGAGGGTGTGGGTGTGGGGAGTGGGGTGTGGCTCTGGCTGTGGGCGTGGGTGTGGGTTGTGAGTGTAGGCGTTGCTGTGGCTATGGATATAGGTTAAACTAGGAATATTACATCTCACACCCATAACCACATCCGATCCACACTCACAGCCATAGCCACACGTCACACCCATTCCCACATACCTACACCCACACCCGCAACCATACTCACACCCATCCACATCCAAACCCACACCCACACCCATCCACACCCACACCCATCCACACCCACACCCATCCACACCCACACCCATCCACACCCACACCCATCCACACCCACACCCATCCACACCCGCACCCCACATCCTCATACCCACACACCCCAACTACATCCACATCCACCCACACACATCCCACCCTATTCAATTCGCCCTTCGAATAAAATTACATTAAGATAATCTAGAATAGAACAGGAATAACTAGGAGCTCATTCTCTTCAATGGAGAAATAAGTTTTCAATTAAAAGTTAGTAATCTGATCAGCATTCTGTCAAATATTCTCACCTATCATATTGTCAAAAAAGAGTGTCGTAACCGACATTGTTTGTCGATTCATTTGTAATAACTTCAAATACATATGAACTAACTCGGTCCCAAAACTGCTATTTATAGTTTCGATGATCTAATGTACACCAAGGCACTTTTTTATCGCATAAATTAGCTGTGTTATTTATAGATTTTTCTCACTCATTTTGATTCATCTACTTCCTAGTATAAAAGGGTCGATCATATTCTCAAGGACTTCTGCTGAAATCCAGTCATTAAATAAATCATACTTTCCAACTTAGCATTCGTTTGCATTGAATCAACATATATTTCATTGCTTAAGTAACCGTTAATAACAGGCCGGACGGAACAAAATACAACATAAGGCATTCTTCTGACAAATTTAAGAAATGAATAAGGTATTTATTCTGTTCTGATCTTAAGCAAATACAAAAGTAAGGTCATTTTAATGCATGTGTGGGTGTTCTTAAAAAGAAGATCCACACGCTATATCCATACCCACACTCACACCCGCACCCGCACCCACGCCCGCACTCATATCCTTGACCGAGAAGAAAAGCCTATGCATCTCTGGCATAGTTTGACCACATGTACTGATTATTTTCACTATTAAAAGAGGCGTATCCATACTGAATATTAAGGGAAAGAAACTGTAGCTTTAACAGCAAAGCATGAACACATGTCGACTCTCGATTAGCATTTTATTGAATAGATTCAGTTCAATTTTAGCATACGATGATAAATAAAATTAACAGAAACTCGTCCCATTCAAATTGAAAGGCACATTCGGCAATATGATGGTTAATTTATCCAAACCTGTTCGAATGAGAGTAATAGTATTAGCTGGAATTGGACTTGTCTCAGCAGTATTAGACACAAGTTCATTATCCACTATTTCCTTATGTATGGCATTCAGAGGAATAATTAACAATTCGAAGTCAAGTAACCGTTTGATCACTTCGTACAGAACTAAATGAAAGAAAGACAAAAATGAAGATGGTAAATAATTTGGTCTATGATGAAATTTCAATATCTTCTTATAACAAAATAAGCAGTACGCCTATTTTCGGGATGCTCCGTTCTCATTCTCACTTTATTTTGTTTCTGCCATTTATTTGATCAAATGACTCATAATATGCTTTAATAAATAGAATTGAAAGAGACAGGATAAATCTAAGCTTCATATAAGATTCAATAGTTGATTGCTATTATTATCGATGGGCTTCATTTTGGCAGTATGAAAAGGTCTATGCAAGAATGATATAGTTTTTCCTCTCTTACCTATGGACTTGCTGAAAATGGTATCTAGATGTAGAATAACTTTCTTCAGCTGTTGACTAATATCAGTAACTACTATTTGCTGCAATTTGAACTGAGAAAGTGTGGAATTGAGATCACCAATTTGCTTGATGCCATCAATTACTTGGGCGTTCAAATCGTTCTCTTGAGTTTTGAGCTCGTTTAAATTTTCTCGATAGTTATCAAGTTGATCTTGGGCATTTTGATATTGCGTATCAGCATCGAGTTGTCGTTGCATTGCCTCTTCGATTCCTTTTTGATAGAATAGTGAGCAGATTGGTCTCAGAAATCCCTATTGAACACATGAAGAAGAAAGCAATCGTAGTAATAAAAAGACAAAATTCTCTTACTGAAAATAATTGCTGACGACGTCGACGCTTTAGGTTGCAGTTTACTCCATCGTTAATAGCTTTCTCGGCAGCACGAACAGCGTCTTCTGCCGTGGCCAAACTTGCTTCTTTCTCTTTCACACCCTTTTCTGCAAGATCCACTTGCTTTTTCGTGGACTCGACTTGCGCGCGAATAGTAGTAAGATCAGTTTCACTTTGCTTGATCTTCTTCTCCCAATCGGCTATTGCCTCGATATACTGCATGATCATTTCATCGACCTTTGTACGAATCATATTACTGCCGTCTAGAGCCTGACTCAGATTACCGTTAAATGCTAGAGCTGCACAATTGAGAGTGTTTGCTAGATTTGAAGCAATACTTGTGTTTGTGGCATTCAGTAACAGATTAAGAATGTCATTTTGTACAACTGAATAGGCCAAAGTGTAAGGCGGGACTACCCTGTAAGCCATTTCTGATTTGTACCATCCTTCGTTTTGTCCTCGCGCCACTGTTATTGTCAACGTAAAAATGCACACAATAATTAAGCGCATATAGTGTTTATCAAATGATGAGCCTAAAGACATTGCCATATCTGCAAAAGAAAAAAAAGAAGTAGAGATGTGCGAACACGTCACTGTAGCTTGATATGTGAGTATTTTGTAGGCTTGAATTGCTGAATTTTCGGTAAATCGGATAAACACTCGAAAAAATACATACATTAATTCATATTTTATGGTAAACTGTATTTGTGGTACGGAAAAAGAAAATTCAATTCAATTAACCACTTGATCATGCATATGCACATCGATAACTAACTGTGTATATTCAGTGAAAAGAATGTAAATCATGAATATCAAATGACGAATAAGAGATGAGGAAGACCGACGCACGATAAATTGAAGTTTCATATGTACTTCTGCTTGACAAAATTTAGTGTTAATCATTGTAATAAATGTCATCATTATGGCTTGTTGAAAGTAGCACATAGTGGTTTCTTCAAGTTTTCTATTTTTAATATGTTTTTTTTTGAAGGTGCTTAATTTGAAAGAATCTCATTTTGTTTTGCAGATCGAGTATGTTCTCTCGTCTCGTAATCTTTGCTATCATTACACTTGTATTTGACATACAAACGGTACCTCTAATAGATTCGGATCCCCTGCCGGGTCTTGATGAGATCGGATCAGGATTTGATGTTGTAGGAATGCTTCAAGGGTCGGACAAGAACTCGAAATTTCGGATATTTGACCTAAGCGAGAGCGGTCTATATCCATTTAAAGTCGAAGCGGTTGGCATAGAACGTATTTACAATACTCCACGACATGTTCAAGTAACCAAAATTGGTGTACGACGTGAAGTGAATTGTGAAGATCTATCAAATAGTTTCAGCCAGTTTTATTCAAGGTAAATATAGATATTGTTTCTCATTTCATTCACACAAGAATCTCCTTTCTTATTAAACAGCTATTTTCGATCGACTCGAAGTAGTAGTGGTTGGTCTGTTTTCTTCTTCGGAGAGTCCACTCAACGCCAGGAAACTATAAAAAAAATTTACGATGGCATGACCAAAAATGCGCAAGCAATCGGCACGTCGACCTCTTGGTGGGGTCTCTACTCTATTCAACTAGGACCACCTTTCTACATCAAGTAAGAAGCTTCTTTTCACTGTTGACCATATACGATTTCTAGAATCTCACATAGAAACATGACAGAAATATTTCGAATAATCCTAGGACCATTTGATATGGAGATAAATACAATCTCATTAAAGAGCGACATAACAAACCGTTTGATAACTAGTGCTACCATTTAATTTCTGTGCATTGATTCTTTGTACATATGTGAGACAAAATATAAAATACTGAGCAATTTTTAAGCATATTCGCTTATATTTTTAGATACGATCCGTCTTTCAATGATAGTGTGAATGCTCTTGGTAGCCTTCCAATACCCACAACTGACAGTGAACAAACTCCTTACAATGTGCTCGTGGAAACGTATGGGACTCATTATGTCACACATGTAATTGTTGGTGCTACTGCTCATTTTTACACATTGATCAATGAAGCTTACACCAAGTCATCAACCTTTGAAGAAATAACAACGCAAGTTAGCAAAATGGGCATATACCTGTTTTATGCCAGTAGCGACACGTCAGCATCCCATAGTCTCTACCAGACCATGAGTGAATCGTTTCGAAAAAATACTGAAAGTTTCGCTGTGTATCAACCACCGGTAGCTCAAATTCCTGGCAAGACCGATTGGCAGTAAGTGAAAATAAATATTTCAGGCTAGTCGTCATGCAAATGCACATGAAAGTGTAAAAATTATTGGTGTCTACAGATTGATTTATGTCTGACTTTAGTAGCTATCATGCACAATGAACTTAAAGAGAAGAGTCAGCGCTAGTATCATTACTTATCCAGTCGTTCCCGTTTTGCTTCACTCGTTCACATGACTTTTTATTTCTTTCCTTTAGATCTTGGCTAGCTACTGCTGTTCAGCAGCCAGTAGTTGTCAACCGTACACTTGCGCCATTGTCCAATCTATTTTATGCTTATCCTGGGGTTCAAGCTCATCTACGACGTACGATTGACTACTACTTGGCTAAGGGAAGTCTTCCTACTTTTGCTCAACTTCAATCGTAAACAAGAAGACTCTATACGTCGATGTACCCATCGTCAAGATTGATATTACTGACAGAATTTTTTGATTTCTTTGCATAGTCTTAATTTTTCACTCCAATTAATTACTCTCTACTTTTACATATTTTGTATTTTTTTTTCTTATCTCTGATATCAATTGTTCAAAAACTTAACCAAGACTCATCAAAAATAAATAAGAAAATACCAGAGATCTGATTGCATATTGAAAAGTCCGAATCAATTCGGTGTCTTGATAGAATAGAGCAAAAAAAAATGATTCTAAAGGACTATGTTGTGAAATTTTTCTCATTATACCCTTCGCGAAATGATTTATATTGATTATTCACCTTGCTCACCTGTATGTTGTATGTATATTCCAACCATGACACATACTAAACAAGTAAACACTTATGTCATATTTCACAAAAGTTCGCTTCAGTGGCACGGAATAAAAAGATTGCTAAAAGCCTAATGTACTTTCATTTTCATTTCATACCGTAATAAAATGTATTGGAGTATCGTAATTTTGATAAGTTGTGGATTTCTGATGGCAATAGAGGACTTCGACATTGGCGAAATACCTGGCTTTTCAAGACCACCGCTTCCAGTGCCACCTCCACGACCTCGACCTCTGATTCCTGGATATAGTCAAAGACCAATAATGAAGCCTCCTACATTGCCTCCGTGGTTTCCTACACCCAGTCGGATCTCATTAGCTACAGGTCCCTTCTGGTTGGCTGTTACCACCACTCAGGCATCAGCAAATATCGTTTCATCAACAACATCGGCAGATTCATCTTCGACTATGTTGACAAAAGCAAGCGGCGATACATCAACCACTCCAAGAGAAAGTCGGATTCTTCGCGAACTTGTTGGTTGAATTTTGATTTAATATTGTTTCATAAAAAATAAAGAAGCATGGTGGTAAACACTATACTTTCTCTTTTGTACATTTAGTTGTCAGTTCTAGTGATGAGCGTGGGTGTCGGTGTGGGTATGGATGTGGGTGTGGGTATGGGTGAGTAGATGTGGGTGTGGCTGTGAAACTTGTATTAATTAACATCTTCACACGCATACCTCACACGCACACCCTTTAAATATTTGGTTTCATAACGGTTTTGCTCAGTGCACGATCAATAATGTAACCAGTTTATTCGATCAAGCACTTCATGTTCATACACATTATAATCATGATTGTACTACAAGTACAGAAATAATTTGTTTGTTCAATAGTACCTTATCATATCAACCATTTATAAACGAAAATTAATTGTATCAATGATATGAAAATGATCTTGGAATGACTTGAGCATTTGTCAAGTGTTGGATTCCATTTTCTAATCCATTCACCAAATTATTCAACGAAAATTGTCAAATGACTAGGACAGAGACGAACAACCTTTACGTTTTGGTACAAGTCATTCTATATAATACTCTTGTAGCTTGACAACAATATATCGAGATTAAAATACATGTCGAAACACAAACTCAATTAAAATTACTGTGTAACAATAAGCGAAAGGATTAGAACAGAAAGAGATAGAAATATAGTTGAGATCAACGTTCATGAAGATATCAAATAGAAAAAGAGAAAAATAACGGAAGTGACGTATAACATCGGCGTATGCTTTAATTTCTTTTTGAAGAAAACAAGAAATTTTAGAATTAAAAAGTTTTAATTGAATCAAGAAAACTTTCAACATTTGTTATTTCAGTAGATATGGGAGCAAAGAGAGGGATTATCGTTTCTTTCTTTGTTTTTTCTTCTTATACTTATGATTCAACTGCAAAAACATAATTCTAACGACAAAACAATTGAACTTAATTCTAATGATGAACCATATACTAAATGATAATTTATATATGATAATATATAAACAAGATTCGCAAGTGTCATGTATATGACAAATGTTTTTAAATATATTCTTTTGTTAAATAATCATAGTTCTTAATTAGGTCTTTCTAAGTATGAAACAATCAAGTCTCTAGCTATAAATGTGGCTGAGTTATAGCAAAAACAAAAATGCCTTAAATTTATGTCCACCACTTTACAGGTAAGCAAGGTAAATAATCAACATAAATCATATAGCGAATGGAATACTGAGAAAAACTTCACAGCGGATGTCATTAAAATCATATTTTTTTGTCCTATCGTATGAAGATACCGAATAGATTCGGAGTTGCCAATATACAATCAGATTTCTGATATCTTCTTATTTAGCGTGAAGACTAAAACTTTGACTAGTCATTGGTGAATTTGTGAACAAATGATATTTGTAATAAGAAGAAAAATACAAAATATATAAAAAAAGCAGAAAGTGATTAATTCGAGCGAAAAGTCGGAAATATGTCAAAAAATCAAAAAATTCTGTCAGCAATATCAATATTGAAGATGGATGAGATTGAATTCAGCAGTGAGGAAATCGACATACGAATTATTTTTGTTTAAAATTGAAGTTCAGCAAAAGTAGGAAGACTTCCCTTAGCCAAGTGGTAATCGATAGTCCGTTGCAAATGAGCTTGGACTTGAGGATAATCATAAAATAGATTGCTCAATGGTGCAAGTGTGCGATTGATGACTACTGGCTGCTGAGAAGCACTGACTAACCAAGATCTAAAAGAAAGAATAAAGTAATGCAAACAAGTGAGACAAAAATGAGAATGTCCAAAAAACTAATGATACTAGTTCTGACGGTTCTCGTTAAATTCATTATCCATGATAACTACTAAAATCAGACATAAATAGATCTATAGACATCAATATGTAGAACTTTTTCGTATTCATTTTTATGAGTGCTAGCTAAAAATATTTTTTTATTTTCACTTACTGATATTCGGTCATTCCTGAGATTTGAACTACCGGCGGTTGATACACAGCGAAACTATTTGAGTTCTTTTGAAACGATTCACTCGTGTCCTGGTAGACACTGTGAGACTCTTCTACACTGTAGTGAGAATGGAACCAGTGATGGACCACTTTTGTGATTTGCGTCGTCGTTTCTTCATATGTTGATGAATTGAAGTAGGTTTCGTTGACGAAAGTATAAACATGAGCGGCAGCACCCACGATTACTTCTGTGACATAGTGAGTTCCATAAGTCTCTACAAGTACATTATAAGGAGTTTGTTCATTGTCACTTGTTGGTATGGGAAGACGCGCAAGATTAGTCACACTAGCATTGAAGAGAGGATCGAGTCTAAAAACATAAACGAACGTACTTAAACATTGCTCGGCATTTCATATGTTGTCTTAAATATGTATAAATGATCAATGTACAGAGATTGAATGGTATCGTAACACTAGCTATTAAACAGTTTGTTATGTTGCTGTTTAATAGGATTCTATTCCTCTCCATATAAAATCATTTGAAGAATATACGAGATTTTTTCCTCGTGATTCAATGTAATATTCTAAAAATCGCATCTGAGCGACAATGCAAGAAAACTTCTTACTTGAGGACGAAAAGTGGTCCTAGTAGGATAGAATAGAGACCCCACCAAGAGGTCGATGTGGCGACTGTTTGGGTATTTTGTGTCATGCCATTGTAGATTTTTTTCAAAGTTCCTGGAGTTTGAGATGATCCTCCGAAAAACAAAAAGGACCAACCATTTCTACCTTTAGTCGACCGAAAATAACTGTTTAATAAGAAGAAAGATTCTTGTAAGAATAAAATGAGAAACGAAAATCTATATTTACTTTGAATAAAACTGGTTGAAATTTTTTGATAGATCCTCACAAATCACTTCACGTCGTATGCCAATCTTGGTTACTTGGGTGTAAAATGGAATATTGTAAGTACGTTCATTGCTTGCCGCATTGATTATAAATGGATATGGGCTCTTCTCGCTTAGATTAAATATCCTAAATTTCGAGTTCTTGTCCGATCCTGAAAGCATCTCTATGACATCAAATCCTGATTCAATCTCATCGAGACCGGGAAGACGATCTGAATCTATTAATGCTGCCGTTTGCACGTTAAATACAAACGTAATGACAGCAAAGATTACGGGAAAAGAGAACATAATTGATCTGTAAAAAAAAAATGAGATTTTCCAAATTTAACAAACTCAATGCAATACTAAGAACAGACAACTTGAAGAAATCCCTATGTGTTACTCTGAACGAGTCATAATCATGATGCTTATTACTGTGTGTAATACAAAATCATGTCAAACACAAATACTTATGAAATTCCGATTTCACTTGCGCCGTTCTTCCTTATATTTTATTCACTATTTAATATTCATGCTTTGTATTCTTTTTTCAGAATATATACAGTTAGTCATCACTGTGAATGTGCATAACCAAGTAGTTTAATTCATTTTTTTTCTTCCTTGCTCGGCAATACAGTGTACTACTCTCTAAAAAAAAAGGGGCTTTGCCGAACCCCTCGAAAAGGTTCTGTAGATTTCTAAAAGCATCCAAATGTGTCTAAAGTCTCAAAAAAAGGGATAAAAATTCGACAGAACTTTTTGGAGGTTCTGTGGATTACCCACTAGCAGAACCATCTCCTACGAAACCTTTTTTTAAGTTCTGTACAGCAAAAAAAGGTTTTCGTGAGAAAATACGAAACCTTTAGGGTTCAGTACAAAACCATTAGGGTTTCGTACAAAGACCAATGGTTTTGTACGGAACCCTAAAGGTTTCGTATTCTTTCACGAAGACCTTTTTTTGCTGTACAGAGCTTAAA